ATTTCATGTCATTAGCACCTCTAGTAATATATTTACTGAGAAAAATGTTGACGTGTTCAATTCTTATTTTACCCGCTGTATTCGTGTATTGTGGACATGAATGTCCACTTTCTTTCATTGATTCTAACACAACTTCTATCCCGTTCAGTTTTTTTATGGAATCGGCATTGTAAAAATTGTTTATTGATAAAACATTTAGTAATAGCAGTAGGTAAATACCGTCACTCCTGGTCCTTGAATATGAGGAAATTGGTCCAGGAAAGTCATTGAAAGGTCCTTGAATTTGATGTTAACCAAGGTGTGGGAACCTGGTTCTAATTTATAAATCTTTTTGTTTTTATTTTCAGTGACTGAAATGTCTGAGGATACCAAGGGCTACACTGTTCACAGTGAGTGATCTCTGTGTGTGTGTGTTTGTGTTGTTAACAGACATGAGTTCGTGTGATTAAGTCGTCTTTTGCAGGTTATATTTCAGATGTTGTCCTCTCACACAGAAATCACCCTGCAGCTGTTCCTGACCGCCATGCTGTGCATTGCAGCGATGCTCTTTGTGTGTCTCTTCACAATCTTTCTTCTGATGGTCGTGAAACAGAAAAAATCAACCCCACGCAAGAAAAGAGAGGTCACTTTCAGACTTTTTTTTAGCATTGAGCTAAATATAAAGCTAACAAAAATGAAAAAAGTACAACTTAAAAGGGTAACATTTGTTCTGAGGTGATATCATTTTGTTATTTATTCTTCCTGCAGCCGTCAGAAGATTATGAGACGATGATGCCTGGTGGTGCACAAGCTGAACCCCAGCCCTGTTGCTACTGTCCACATGGAGACTGCACTGATTTTTCAACGATACCGAGACCCACAGCTGACCTCTGCTCCCACCAGGTCTCATGTGGCCAACGTGAGTCTGTTGTCTCCTTGAGCCACGGGGATTATGTGGACGTGGACGTACCGGGACACGTCTGCCAGTATCACCATCTGGACCGCAGCCAACTGGAGGAGCACGTATACCACAGTCTTCATGGAAACCCCGGCACCAAACCGATTGTATGACTGTTAATCAACACAGACTGGAGWTGTGTGTAAATAATTTGCTGATTGAAAGCCGCATGCTTCCACTTTCAAATATAGATGAATTTCCCGGTGGTGCAGTTGGTAGTGCTGGTGCCTTTCAAAGAGAAGTTTGTTGGGTTGAATCCGGAGCTGGTGACCTTTTTTTGGCTGCAGTTTGCATGTTCCTGTCTGTGCAGCTGTAGGGTTTCTCCCACAGATCATAACATGAAGTTAGGCTAACTGGCAACTCTAAATTGTCCCTACGTGTAAGTGAGACAGTGAATGGTTGTTTGTGTTTACGGCAACGTTCACACTACAGGTCCTAATACTCAATTCTGATTTTTTGCAAAATATCTGTTTTCTTTTTAGTCAACGTTCTTAAATGCGACCTCCATCAGACTCCAGTGTGAACCCGTCATGACAATGATGCAGAAAATGACAGGATGTCACGCTCAGCTCATTGTTTACAGTAGTAGATCATGGATGCTACATGTTAGCATGTTGATTCTGAAGTTGTGCAATCAGAGTCGATTAAATAATTATTTGACATGCTTGTTTAGTTAGTTTACATTTGAATCTGCTTCTGGTCGAATGCTCCGGTGTAGCATGTATTTATGGAACTAAAATGCTAAAACTATCAATCCAGTAASCTTAATATCGAGACCCAAGTTACTATTAAACATTTCTGTGGACCATCAGTCCTTCAGGACATGACAAATTAAAAGTTAAAAAAGACAAGTGAGGTGAAATAACCACGTCTTCTGGTTCTGCGGAACTGCTGTTGCTCAGTGAAGAGAGAAACTC